ACTTATGTCTCCTTATTCTTGCCAGTTTTGCTGTTCACGGACACACAAAGATGCTCCTGTGTTATCTTGGAGATGAGAGACGCCATGCAATGCACTCTCTCCTTTATCTCTTTCCCCACGGCACATAAGACTCCTTTTATGCATCATTTGTATCATGCCAACGCACACTCAGAGATGCACAAACACGCTCAATGCACAGAAACAGTGTTTCGTGGTCTCGAGCACTCACAATTGCAGGCTGGTGCAAACAGCAGGAAGATGATTGGTGCGTGTGAATGTGTGTGTGGAAGTTATTGAGGGAGGGAGAGTGAGAGAAACTGAAGAAGTGTGAATGCATTTGCATTAAAAAGCACTTAAACTTCTTGAAAACTCTAACTGCTTTTAAGTTTGTGACCTGAAAATGAATTTGAAGCTCCTGTTGCTGCATCATTAGCCTTCTAAAACTCTGCTAAATAGTTAGACACTCTGGAAAGTGAAGATATCTGGCAAACTATGATCCCGTGCTTGTTAATTTATTGATAGCCTAGTATTTTTCATGTTGCGAGAGAAACATATCGTCCTTTTCATCATAAAAAGCTGCAAATCAGAAAATGTCTGTGTTATTAATAATCAATGTCTCGGTTATTTAAATCAGACGAGACTTCATCTGAACCTAAAATGATGGCCAATTACCAGCACCAGTTATTTTACCATTTAAATCAATGTGCTGTTCTCCTCAGCAGTTTACTGAAGTTACTCTCAAATGCTCTAAAGGTTTTTTTTTAAAAAGAAGATTAGCTGAAAACCCCTCAAATCTAAATCTCCAATATTGTTGGGAAAAATCTAACAAACATTTGCCACCAACGCTATGTTTTTTTGCCCTCTAGGTTTTTTGGGTTTCCTTATTAGGTTCTAAAATGTTCCAAATTGCAAAGCTCTGTAAGCAAAAATACAGACAACAGTTAACATAATGCCTCTAAAGTCATGTGTAAAAGACAATTTTCACAAGGTTCTATGTAGTCCTGTGTAGAAATAAGTAAACCCCTTAAACCAATAGGAATTAAGAAGGTAAGTAGAACTGAGGTGCTGCTATTTAAATGCACTTGTTTAATTGATCATCAGCATGAACTACTACCTCTGTAGAAGCAGAGGTAGTAGTTCATGCTAAATAACAAAACAATAATCTTTATTTAAGACATCTTGGATGTGCTACCACACAGCAGGTTTATTATTAGACAGATAATTTCATTAAATGGCACCAATACTACAAATGTGGACTGTAGAGAAGTACAGTACAGGGACACACTGCTGGCTACAGTTGCATGTCTTGGCACTATTGTCTGTCAAAGTGACCCCGGCCCTAAAGTTAAACCTTCACAAAACCCAGCAGGTAAGTTAAAAAAAATCCACCAACTGGAGTTGTTATGAAAGAGAGCATCAGTTCTTAGAGCAGTGTTGTTCTGTTGTGGCAAGCAAGGCAAACAGCACTGCTTGCCCAGTGTAATCTAGATACAGACATCAATTAAAACAAACATGAAGTAATCTCTCTCCTTGCATCTCAAACAGCCATGTGTCTCATGAGCTTCTCTCACTGCCTGCGAGAGAAGTTTCCCATCTTGTTGCCATTGTTGGCTATTGCCTCTGGAAGCAGGCTTGACTAGACTTATAATGTTTATCATTCAAGACAAGCTGCAGAGACAATCTCACTGAGATTATTTAGGAGCTGTGTTGTGTGGAAATAAAGCTTTCATTAACAAGTAAACAAGCCCTCCGTCATCCTAACATACACATTTTCTTTTAATAACCACCTTGGCGATGTGTGATGCAGAGCTATTAGAGCGTAGTCTGAAAACGTTTTTTTAATAACCTCTTAAGCATGTTAGTGAGGAAAGTCTGGATAATGGAGCGGTATACTGCCATCTCTACTTTCATAAAACAGGCAAGCTGAGAAGTTTCAAATGAGCTCCTGCTTGCTTTTCTATAAACTCACCCTATGCCACTGCTTTAAAGACAAAAAAATGTGCCAGGCTGTACACATGTTCTTTTCTACTGTTAAGTTGGTCATGGAGACGGACTTGGTTTCAGAGCCATGGCCACACCAGGAACTACAGTCTCACGTTTGACTCTATACATTTACCATCAATTTGTAACACAATAATGTTACTTGCCCTTCTCTAAACCGATTCATTAGGTTTAGATCGAAAGTATATCTGGAAATCATGGCAAACAGAAGCCATTTCTACACAAGAACTATGGACAATGTTTGGAGAATCAGGTCGAGACATTGTCTAAAGTTGCCTGTTCTCACATGTAGCACACAACAGAAGGCAATTTTATCTGTGCCAGATGCATTCTTTTACTGGAAATACTTCTGTTTTGGGGATAAATGTTCACTGGATGATCATTGGCTAGTCTCTAATCTGTACAACACATCACAGGTCCATCACAGTGACTTGGAATAAGGAAGCTAGCATTGCACACATTTAGTGGATCCTATAAATACGCTCACCATTGGAGGTCGGGTGGCTGTCTGATCAAAACCATTTTACAACCAAATGTTAATCAAGTGTTGAATTAATAGCCAGTGTGTTGTGATCGCTTGGTCATTTATTGGTCCAATAGCTTCATGACAGGAAGATGGAGGTATTGATAATGATGATAACGACGATGATGGCATAAAAAGGACTTTTTTCCCCACTAATCTGGCAAATGCTGGAATATCAGTACCACCAGGTTATTTACTTGTGTGTGTGTGTGTGTGTAGTCTCAGAGTTGTGTTAATGTTGTTACCATAATGACTAACTCTTGACATTTCTCCATCGCGCCGTTTCTGAAAAATGTTCTAATTTATTCGACTAGTACATCCGACCATTTTCTGTAATACTCTCTGTGTCTCTGTCTCTCTCACTAGTGAATAACATTTAAAAGCTATACAGTGTACACATCTCTGTACCTCTCTCACATGTTTTCTGCTTCCAACACTGTGACACTCTATACAAGCACTATATTCCACCAATTTTGTCTTTCTCTTTCAGATGACCTCATGAAGGATGTTTAGGTATGTGTGTGTCAGAGTGAACATTCGTGTGTATCCATCCATCCCTGGGGCTCACATCAAGTGCACTGGCTGCATCAGTGGACTTCATTATTGCTAATAGCCAGGGATTTACTCGTTTACTCCTAGTTTGTTCCATTGTTCATTAACCTCGGTTCATTTAGCTTTGGACCGACTGCCTGTCAGGGATGGAGCTGTTTCACCCAAAGTCACCAGTCTCAAAGTAAAAGGGCATATTTTTTTGTTTGTTTTTTAAACTCATGTTAATCCTGCATTTACAGTTCTCCTCTGAAGTTTACATGCACTCATCATGAGAATAAATTACTTATCATTTTGGTG